CTCGCATCAGCCAGGAGACGCACGAGAAAAAAGCTGACAGGGAAAGCAGAAGTAAATAAAGTTGTGGCGAGCAGTTGAGATGACATGATCGCACAGTTTGACACACACACACCTTCTCCTCTCTATGTATATATAAACACACACACACACACATATATACGAGAGCGTCTTTTTTCCTTCTCTTTCGCACAGCTTCTGGCAGTTTTTTATCTGCTGGAGGTATTGAACTGAACAGTCATTTCTGTGCGTCTCACACAGGATTTGCTTTGCATATCTCCGCCACACACACACACACACACATAGCAAAAAAAGAAAAAAAAAAAAAGTATAGGAGTCAATCATCAACTGACACACACTGTCCGGACAGTTTGCCGAACACTCTTCGCAACACCTTCCCCATGTCCACCTCACCCGGCTCGCGTCCCACTCTGCCCTGTCATCCGTGTGAATATTTATATATATATATGTGTATGTATGTGTGTGTGTGAGTGTGTGTTGGTGTGTGTGAGTGTGTGAGGGAGAAAGCGTCACGTACCTGTTACACTCCTGAGGTAGCTCAGGCTCAGTGAGCATGCTGGAGTAAGGGTCCGTCTCTCTCGACAACAACAACATAAAACAGTCCCACAATGCTCAGACGGACAAGGTTTTTTAGTCTCCCCCAAAAACACAAGCCGGGATAGAAGTGATCCTTCAACCTCTCACACACACTGCTGCTGATTCTCTCTCTCTCTCTCTCTCTCTCTCTCTCTCTCTTTCCTCTGTGTGTTCCTCTCTCTCTCCACTCACACACTTTCAGCCTCACACCCTCTCTCTCTCTCTCTCTCTCTCTCTTTCTCTTTCGCCTCCGTCCCTCCTCTTTCTCCCTCCCTCGCTGTAAGCTGTGAGATCTAGGCTCAGCTCTTAAAGGGCCAGCAGCAGCAGCAGCAGCAGCAGCAGAGGCAGAGGCAGCGGCGGCGGCAGCGGCAGCAGCAGCAGCGTCGGCGGCAGAAAGCCTCTTCGCTGTGACTGGTTGTGTATCAGTGTGTGTCTATGCAAAGAGGGAGGGACTATTTGACCGGAGGGCTCATCACTCCCTCGGTGTAAATGCACAGCAGTGCTGCCCCCTTCCTCAAGTCCATCCATCTCCTCTCTCCCTCTCTCTCTCTCTCTCTCTCTCTCGCTCACAGAGGCAACAGATCATATAGACCAGACCACTACGAGCCCTCCTGCTCTTTTATTATGCAACATGAAGGGAATTAATCAATAAGGAGTGAACTGTGCTGAACTATACAATCGTACACAAAGTCCTCTTTTTTTTTTCTTCCTGTTATGTTCTTATGCTTTTATACTACACAGCCCGGCTCATGCCATTGTCTCTTCTACCACGAGCAGACATCTGCTTTAAGATCCATTCAACTTATATATTATATAAATACAGATATATATATAAGAGAGAGAATGTGCTACTTCCATACGCCTGAATCTGGATTGATCTGGAATTATTCCTCTGAGCAACTTCTGGTCAGTTTCTGTCACATTTCTACTCACTGGGAGCTCATTTTTCAATCTTAAACCTGCACCTCTGTGGAAGCATCAGGCTGCGAGGAAGGAACTCAGAAATGACTCTCCTGCAGCTATAATGCCATAAATATTTTAAAAAAGAAGAAGAAACCTAAGCTGAAATTTCTTGATTAGTGCTGACTAAAACTGACTTGAGATGTACATCCCACATGTCCACCATACATATTTTACTACTTGGATTTTTTTTGGTTTCGTCTTCGATCTCTCAAAAAGTCCCTGAATTTCTGTCATGTGACTGCTCCTTGCAGCTGAGTCACGAACGGCTTCACGGTGGTTCCAACGAGCACAAAGTTTATAGTTTTTTCTCAGAATCTGGTCAAAGCTTTCGACAAATTTGAAATGAACCGAAGCATCACGTAGATTTACTCACGTGGAGCAACAAGTTGGAAATCCAGTGGGTTCGTGCTGTTTTTATTGTTTGTAGAAACGATAAATTGTGCGATTTTGAACGCCTTTAAAACCTGTTCTTCTATTTAATGAAAAAGAACACAGCATTACATAGACACAAGTTGGACTCAGTCTGCCGTATAGATCAACCTTAGCCTCCATTTACATTCTCTACTGAATCCAGATTTGCAGCTCGGCTCAGCGCACACACACCCTCACTGGCTGCAAACATACATATCATCTGTACTAATGCCTCGGACTCATCCGTGCTTAATTGGTTAAGTTGTGTTGTTCCAGCCTCTTTCACTGTCCCTTTGGTTCCACCGCGTTAGGAAAGTGAAGCCGTTTTGTGCTCGACTTCGATACACATCGTGCCTTTCACATGATTGGCTATGCTAACAGAATAAAGTAACAGAACAGTGGATGTGAAACAAACCTTGAAACGAGATTAATATAAGGTATCCGAAGGTCGAAGCGTTTACATTCTTTAAGGGGCTGCTGAAAGAAGCGCTGTTCAAAAGGTTGAAGCGCGCATAAAGCGGATGTCGCAGACAAGAAATATGGAGGAAGTATGACATGCAACGTTCGTCTGGGAATCAAGTCGTGGATGCTCCTAAATGATGTTTCTATGCATCAGAAACAGTGTTAACAAAAGGTCACTGCATGTTATTGCTGTTTGCTGTCGGCGCAATTCAACGCTGACGTGCACGCACTTACCCTATGGCCGTTTGCTAAATATTTAATCTACGATTTCATGTCGTCTTTTTCAATCTTCTCTCGAGACAAATGTTACTTTATCACTCCAACAAGTGAAAAGCGGCGACGCCAGCGCACTTGACTAATTCGTCTCTATCTATTTATGCCATCTCTCTGTTTAAACACTGTTATGCTAAGACTTGCAGCCATCAGTTTAAACACAATGAGTGTTAATATGATATTTCTATGGCTTTTATTAAAGCAGAACAATGTCAAGGATGAGCATTGTAGGTATCAGAGAATAATGCCCATCCTCCAGCCAATCGGAGTCAGTTTTTTTTCCTCCCCTTCCTCCTATTATTATAACGAACGAGACGGAATAAAAGCTTTAACTGGCTTTAATTTCCTTTCTTTATTCTTTTGTTTTGATGCAGTGAGATGCAGACGTTTGATTCTGCGACACAGACCGGTTTTGTTACAAGAAAGACAGCTGAACACTTTCAAACAGAACATATGCTGAAGCTCACATGCATGAATGAACGCGACGCACAAACGCGCGCACACGCAACGCACACGCGCGCATGCTCGGCCGGCTCGACGGCGAACCTTCAACCGATCAACCACACCCATTGTGTGTCCTCAGGTGTGCGCACTGTACGCGTGCACGTGTGTGTGTTGTCAGCGGTGCATGCTGCTTTCAGCCCTTAGTGCTGTCAGTCACTATTAAGGGTGTGTGGTCTACGTGTCACACATACGGCCAATCCAGCTATTGTTCTGGGGAGCGCGGAGCCAAAGCAGAGCTGACAGACTGCCACTTCTGTGATACTTTAACACACACACTCAGACGCTGACACTCACACACACACGGAGGGAGAAAGAGAGAAAGCGAACCCCGTCACTGTATCTACTGTAGACGAGCAGACACCTACTGCGCAACATGCATACACTGTGCAAGCCTCAATGCAGCATTGACACACACACACAGGCAGTACCTTTAAACAAGCAGTCACCTGCATTTGAGGTTTGCTCCTTTCATTGCTTTTCAACATTAAATCAGCCCCCCCACCGTGCAGCCGTGGTGCTGAATGCTAGCTTTTAGCTCCTTTAGAAGGAGTCATAGGTGTCTTGGTGGCCACTGGTCACTCAGTTTTTGAGGACGATCAGCTCGACAGCGGAATAACACACACACCGAAAACAAACCCCGTCACTTATCTACTGTAGACAAGCAGACACACAACATGCACACACTGTGAATCTATTATAATGCAAGAGTACATTCACACACAGGCAGTACCTTTAAATAAGCAGTCAATCGCATTGGAAGTTTTCGCTTTTCACTGCTTTATAGCATTAAATTCAAATGGTGAAAACTAGCTTTTTGCTCTTCAGGAGTCATAGGTGTCTTGGTGGCCACTGGTCACTCACTTTTTGAGGACAGCCTGGTCTACACCTGAACACTTTAACACACAGTGAGACGCAAACAAACAAACCCCGTCACTGTATCTACTGTGGACAAGCAGACACCTACTGCACAGTCACACACTATGCACACACTCTGCAGCGATTACAAAGCGAGAGTACATTCGCACACATGCAGTGACTATAAAAAGTCGTCCCTTGCATTGGATGTTTTGTCCGTTTATTGCTTTTAAACATTAAATCACCCCATGGTGCAGCGTGGTGGTGAATATTTGCTTTTAGCTCCTTCAGAAGGAGTCATAGGTGTCTTGGTGGCCACTGGTCACTCATGTTTTTGGTAATTTTTTTCTCTTTTCTAGCCTTTATTATAGTTGAAAGTAGAGCGAGACAGGAAATATGGGGAGAAGAGTGGAGGAAGGACCTCCAGTAAATGGTCATGAGCTGGACTTGAACCCACAACCTCTGGACTACAGCCCCTGTTCATGGGTCGCCCATCCAACCAGCTAAGCTACTGGGGCACCAGTCACTCATCTTTTAAGGGACGCCCTGCTCTGCAACTGAATGCTTTAACAAACACACTCAGACGCTGACACTTAGAGGAAGAAAGAGATAAAACAAACCCCGTCACTATCTACTGTAGACAAGCAGACACCTACTGCAGTCACACAACATGTGTGCAGCGATCAGAAAGCAAGAGTACATTCACACACAGACAGCACCTTCAAATAAGTAGTCCCTCGCATTGGAAGGTTTCACTTTTCATTGCTTTTTAGCATTAAATCACCCCCACAGTGGAGCGTGAAGGTGAATACTAGCTTTTAACTCCATAACTGTCTTGGTGGCCACTGGTCACTCACAAAACTGTGCAGCATTAATAGAGCATTCACACAAATTCTACAGTTCCTAAAAAAAAAAAAAAAGTGTTCATCCGCTTTGTAAGTTGTCTCCGTTTACTGCTTTTGAACATTAAACCACCCCCACTATGCAGCATGGTGGTGAATACTAGCGTTTAACTCCATAACTGTCTTGGTGGCCACTGGTCACTCAGTCTTGCTTTAGGCTGATTCTATTTCTTAATGGTGGATTTAACTACATCTAATGTTTAGGCTCAAAATGCAACTTTATTTATATGGCACATTGCATAATGATTTATTACAATCTTCAATCTACAGTTTTATAATCAACACTTTACACTTTAGTTAGAATTACACACAATATTAGGTTGGTGTAATAATCATCATTATTATCTGACTCATCAAAACAATGGTTGCAACGTATATACATTTCTATCATGCAACCGTGCATTTAATTAAGTGGTGCAAGGGATATTCTCTGCTTTTTCTTCCATACATCCCCTGACTTTTAATTAACCTTTTCACAGAGTTGCTTAGAGTGTTTTTTTGCTTTTAGTTTGTGTTCATGCTGTAGCTACAGTCAGGAGGACTGATTCACCAGTGACTGGACCTTCCAGACACAGGTGTCCTCATAATACAGTCCTTATAATACATCCACTGCACTCGGATTCTCTCCGTTTCTTTAGCTGTGTGACTTCTATCACCAGTCGTCTGCATCTGTATTGAATTAGATGAGTCACTTTAAAGGGGGCGAATAATTACACAATCATGTATTTCACATTTCAGATTCATAATTAAT